CTTCCGCGGCCGAAGCCGTCGCCCCGTCGGAAAGCTCGACCAGGGTTCCCCATCCCAGCTCTGTCGTTCCTGCCGATCCTTCCCCCCCTGGGACCGTGGCGGGAAACGAGGGTCCGACGTCACCCCCCGGAGTGATTTCAGTAGACGACTCGGAGGCAGAGCCCCCGGACGAACCGGAACCGAGAACCCGGCTTCGGAGACCCGCCGAGGACCGCGAGGCGGACGTGGAGCCCCCGGCTTCCAGGCCCAGACGTGGCCTTCTGACTTCGGTGGCCCCGAGGCCCCATGAGGGCCCAGGCCCAGGGGGCCGTCGTTTGACTCCGGTCGAGTGGGGATCGGGGACCGTCTCCGATCGGATTCGGGAGTGGAGACAGCGAGTGGGCCCAGCGAGCCCACGGACAGCAGTCGCCGGCGAAGTCGTTCGCCTAATACCTCGGTTGCCAGGGGGCAGCCATCGCCATTGCCTAGTGACTGGCCCGAGCCAAGTTGGGGTGTGAATGCTAGGGGAGAGCCGTCTTTGGGCCTCTACGAGGGAGAGGAGGAAGATGAGCAGGATCGCATTCTGATGCAGGAAGCTTTGGCTCGGGGTATTTCGTTAGAGACCCCCTTCTCGGTTCGAGGGGCCGAGGGGGAGTCGTTCTTCACCCTTGATTCTCAGGACTGTTTCTCTGGGCTCGAAGGCGGAGCTGCGCCTGTCCCCCGCCGGGGAGCCGAAGTCCAGCTGAAGAACCATTCCCCTGAGGAGAGGTTTTTGTTTTCCGCGTCGGATGCTAAGGAGTGGGCGGCGATGACCGCCACAGGAGCGGCACGCGTGCTTGCTGCAGAGGAGTCTCGCCTAGTTAGGAGGAGACATCCAGATCGAATTTTGTCTTCTCGCATGATCAGGAGGTTCAAGCCCTCAGAAGGTGTGGGCAACCCTCCGACGGCCAAGAGTCGCTGGTGCGTACACGGGCACCAAGACCCAGATAGTGAGCAATTACAGGTGTACGCCCCGACTCCACAATCAGAATCCATTATGCTGGTGTTACAGGTGATCGCCTCGATGGGGTGGGTTCTCGGGATTGCTGATGCGAAGAACGCCTTTTGTCAGAGCAATAAGCTCGAACGTCCAAAGGGTGCTATCTATGTGGAGGCTTGTGCTGGTTTAAATCTTCCCCCAGAGACTCTGATAGAATTAGTGGCTCCGGCTTACGGCCTCAATGATGCTCCGTTGCTGTGGCACCGCACCTTGACCGGACACCTAGAAGGGATGGGATTCACCCGATCGCTTCTGGAGCCATGCCTCTGGCTGCTAAGGAGTGGAGCTGGTCGACTTCAGGCCTTGGTGCTGATAGAAGTGGACGATTTAATCGTGTCGGGGGATTCTTCAATACTGCCCGGACTGAAGAAGCAGTTGTTTGATCGGTTTAAGTTCGGCAAGTGGGAAGAAGGCGAGGCGGATTATGCCGGTCGTCACATCAAACAGGTGGGTGAGAAGATGATCGTCGACCAAGAGAAGTACGCGCGGGAGCAGCTAACCCCTATTGTGATCTCCAAAGAGAGAAAGAGCGATCCTAGTGCGCCACTGACTTCGTCTGAGATATCCTCGTATAGGACGACCGTTGCCCAGATCCAGTGGCTAGGTCGCGAGCCCCGCCCAGACGCGGCAGGAAGTGCGTCTCTGTTGGCCGCTGCTCTGCCCGAACCAGTGATGGAGGACGCTCTCATGGCTAACAAGGTGGTCAAGTTCGTGCGTGCCTCAGCTTCCGAACATATCACGATTTGGAACCTCGATCCCTTGTGTTTGACGTTTGTGACTGCGTCCGACGCGGGGTGTCCCGGGTCCGCTAGGCGGGGGGGTGCTCAGTCCGGGTGGCTCGTTTTCGCCGCCGACGGGGCCATTCGTCAAAATCGTCGGGCCAAGGTGAGTCTTGTGGCGTGGCGGTCGCAGAGGCTTAAGAGAGTCGTGGCAAGCACGATAGCCGCAGAGACGTTGTCGTTGTCAGGAGCTCTTGCAGAGGCACAATGGCTGCAGATTCTCTGGAGGGACGTGGTTTTCGGTGATGTTGCGAGGCCGGACTGGGTGTTATCCCAGGGCCCGTTCTCTATGATCATGTCTCGTGAGTGCGAGATCGCCGGACAGGCTTCTGCTTTGTCGATAGTTGACGCTAAAAGCGTGTTTGACACACTGTCGAAAAATAGTGCGGGGTCTCGAGCTGACAGAAGGAACGCCATCGAGATGGCTGTAGTGCGTGATTCTCTCTCTAGTGTCGGGTCTCAAATTAGGTGGCTCCCCCATGGTCTCATGCCGGCTGACCCCCTTACGAAAGTGGACCCCACTTGCGGCAATGCCGCGTTGCATGACGTGTTGACCCGGGGTTCGTTGTGTCTTATCGATGAGGATGGTCACTGTACTGAGAGGGCGCTGAACGTTTCGTTGAAGTCCCGTTCCCGAGGGGCTTCCAAGAAGGCTTTGGAGGTTCAGTTCAGTCTAAGGTACTTGTAGTTGGTCACGCTAAGGTGCCAGAAGGGAGAGAAGAAGATCTGGAGAAGGTGGGAGAAGGGACGCGAGGAGAAAGACAGGAGGACAAGAAGGAGGAGGAGAGGAGCGGGAAGCGAGTTCGATTCCAGGAGTTCTTGGAGCCCTCGTCAATGGAGCCAGCATACGTGGTCTTAACGTCTTCCGGAGTTCGATCCACGAAAATTGGATCCGCTGTTTCCCTTAGGCCCTAGTGGGCCCTGTGTGTGTGTTCCCTCTCGTCTCTATGTATCTTCTCCGTAGCCGTTAGGCTTCGCGCGAGTGAGCATGTTGTTGGTCGCAGTTCCTTGGTCTCAGAAAGTGCCCCCTCCTCTCATCGTTATCTTTGGGCTCCCAGCGCCATTCGTCCTACGGTCTGTGACACCTCCCTTTCTTCGCTGGGGAATGGCCCCTTGCCTTCCTCAGGTTTGTGGCCCCTCGCGGGGGGGAGGCGTACGAGGCAGCGGCTTCCGAACCCTATAGTTACTGCTTTCCTTGCGCGGCAGCAGGCTGGGCATCCAGAAGTGCAGCAGATAGGGGCCACCAGCGCCCCCACGGCTGCTAACGAATTCCGCTGGGGACGAGGGATCGTGCAGGACCCTGGCACAAAGCTCCCCGACCTCGGTAGTTCTCACAGGGCTTGCACGCTAGGTGAGTCCCCAGATTTGATCACGGGCGACGTCTATGCAGACGGATCGTTGCTGCACGGCCGGCACGCTGGCATCAAGCGAGCGGGGTGGTGTTTCGCGCAGGTCAGGGACAGCGGAGAACAAACCTTCGCCGTGTGCGGGCCGCTGCGGCGGTCGCAGGATGAGCAGACCGTTTTTCAGAGCAGAGCTGCACGCAGTATGCATGGCACTGCAAGCGGGCATGGTACCGCTCACGATTGGGTCCGACTGTCAAAGATGTAGTGGGAGGCTTTGCTCGCGGTCTGGAATGGTGCACGCGCTGTTCGAAACCGCACGCCAGCCAATGGAAATGGGCCTGGCACCTTGTTTGGGAGTTAGGCGGCCTGGGCCCACAGGCGGTCCAGATCGCAAAAGTACAGGCACTTGCCACGGTAGCCGAACGCCGAGCCATCGGCCCGAAACGCTTCCAGGGCAATGCAAAGGCCGCTGACGGAGGTGCAAAGCCAGGAGCCGCCGCGCCAGCATACCCAGAATGGCACGTGGAGCACTACCTGCGCACGTGTCAGCTGGTCCAGAGCACCTTGCAAAAGAGCGGAAGTCCTTGCCCTGTCATCCGAGGCAGCTCACACAGTCAAAGACGGGCCGCTGCAAGCCCCGAGTATTAGTGGGACGGGCACAGGGGTCCTGGAGCGTGTTGTTGGGGGGTCGGGGAAGCGGAAGTGACCTCTGAGGAGGTTGGACGCCCTTCGGCCAGAACACCTCCCCTAAGGGCCCTTGGGGGGGGGGCCCGGAAGCACATGCTCAAGGTTTCCGGAAGCAACGAGATGCGGCGCTGCTGGGGAGGTGGAGCGTCGTGGGGTGGTCGGGGAAGCGGAAGGGGCCTCAGGAGGAGGAGGAGGAGGAGGAGTAGGAGGAGGAGGAGGAGGAGGAGAGGAGGAGGAGGAGGAGGAGGAGGAGGAGAGGAGAGGAGAGGAGGAGGGAGGAGGGAGGAGGAGGAGGAGGAGGAGGAGGAGGAGGAGGAGGAGGAGGGAGGAGGTGGAGGGGTGGGGGAGGAGGAGGAGGAGGAGGAGGAGGAGGAGGAGGAGGAGGAGGATGGGGAGGAGGAGGCCGAGGAGGCCGGACGCCCCTCGGCCAGGTCTGGAGGGCCACCTGAGGGCCCCGACGCGGCTCTCAGGGCAGAACTGGCACGGAGAGACTGGCACCAGCTTGTAGTCCGGCCAGGCTTGGCGTTCTGCAGGGTGTGTGCTTGCTGCGCTCAGCGGCGTTGGCAGGGTCTCAACAGGAGCGGGTGCAGAGGCCAACAAGCCACTGCCACGGGGCAGGCTGAGTCGTCTGTGGAAGGGCCAGCACCCGACCACGGCGAGGCCTTTGGGGTGAGGGCCCCTGGGCCTTGCCAGGTCCCTTCTACACGGTAGAGGTAGGACCTGTTCATCTTGTTTATCCTGTTTATCCTCCTCCTCCTCCTGATCCTTCTTCTCCTCCGCCCTCCTCCACCCTCCTCCTCCCCGTTCCCATTCCTCCTCCACCCTCCACCTCCTCCTCTTCCTCCCCCTCCTTCTCCTCCTCCCCTCCTCCTCCGCCTCCTCCTCCTCCCCCCTCCTCCTCCTCCCTCCTCCTCCTCCTCCTCCTCCTCCTCCTCCTCCTCCTCCTCCTCCCTCCTCCTCCTCCTCTCCTCCTCCTTCCCTCCTCCCTCCTCTCCTCCTCCTCCTCCCCTCCTCCTCCTCCTCTCCTCCTCCTCCTCCCTCCTCCTCCTCCCTCCTCCTCCTCCTCCTCCCTCCTCCTCCTCCTCCTCCTCCTTCTCCTCCTCCTCCTCCTCCTCCCCCTCCTCCTCTTCTTCCTCCCTCTTTGCCCCTGCCCTGGGCCGCCGCCACGAGGCCTCCGGGCCCACCACGCGGTAGTGGTGGACCTCCAGACGATGGCCGCCCGCCTCGGGAAGAGCCCGCCGGCCGGCGACGGCGGCAGGACGCTGCCTTTACCGCGAGCCCAGCTCCTCCTCCCTCCCCTCTCTCCTCCTCCTCCTCCTCCTCCTCCTCCTCCTCCTCCTCCTCCTCCTCCTCCTCCTCCTCCTCCTCCTCCTCCTCCTCCTCCTCCTTCTCCTCCTCCTTCCCCCTCCTCCCTCCTCCTCTGGGCGCAGAAGGGGGTGGACGTCTGGGTGCGAGGCTCTCGGGCGTCATCGCAGGCTCCCTGAGGTTTTCCCAGCCTCGGGGCGCTCTTCAGCGGCTGCGCCTCGTCGAGAGCGTTCTCGGGATGGGTGCGAGGGTCTCGGGCGTCATCGCAGGCTCCCTGAAGTTTTCCGGCCTCGGGGCGCTCTTCAGCGATTGCGCCTCGTCGAGAGCGTTCTCGGGATGGGTTCGAGGCTTTCGGGCGTCATCGCGGACTCCCTGAAATGTTTCCCAGCCTCGGGGCGCTCTTCAGCTTCTGCGCCTCGCCGAGAGCGTTCTCGGGCTGGGTTCGAGGCTTTCGGGCGTCATCGCAGGCTTGGCAAGGCTGGATCTTCCCGAGTGGCCGCCAGAGGCCAGAGCCATGGCACGAAAACCACTGGTGGCAGTCGAGACATCGGCGGTCCTCCCGGGCGTTTTTCGTCTTCTCTAGGGCGTCTCTGGGAGGCTTCTCGTCGCTGTGTCCGCCTCTCGACGAACGGGTCATGATGGACTGGAGGTGTCCAGGGAGGGTGGAAGGGTAGGCAGGGGGGGGGGGATTTTGAGCGGATTTTGGGGGGCAAGGCGAAGGGAGCCGCCGTCGCCTCCTCAACTGGCCCAGCTCTCGGCCTCTGCCGCTGCCGCGCCCGACCGGGGGAGGGGGCGATATCACCTCTCCAGGATGAGAGCAGGGAAGAGGAGGAGGAGGTGGAGGAGGACCTCACCTCACTGGCACCACACAGCGGGCAGGACATGCATTGGCCTGGCGGATAGGACGCGTACGCACACAACGCCAGGGACACGGACAACGACGGATACGACGACGACCGATGGCATTACGCTGTCTACTACCACGAGCAAACCAACACCTACAGCAGTTACCAATTCCCCAGCGACCACCTCCTCCGCCCAGGCTGGCACGGGTACCTAAACAAGTGTACACCAACGAGCTTTCCAACCACCAACCTACAACACTGCCTGCCACATCCCATTACGACCCGACCCACAAGCAACCCCACTCGACATTCAAACGTCCACCCGCTGGTCCAACCAAGTACCTAACCATGAAGCACACAACACAAGCCGACAACCACCTTCCACCAATCAAACCCACACAGAGACGCGCGCGGCTCCGACTAGGCAATGGCTTGGCAGCCGTTGTCAACCACTTCCGCACTAACGAACAATTCAGACTGGAGGTAGTCATCACCAACATATACTTCCACTCACTGTCCACAGGCGACCCAGCGCCCCTGACTCACCAAACTACACATGCCATCCAAGAAGTCTCGCAGTGGCTCACCTCACGCTACAAAGACGACGGCATCATACGATACGACTGGCCAGCACGCAGATACGAAACAACCTCACTCCTACAGAAGCTATGCAACCCGAGAGCAGCAAACAGCCTAGCACGCCAGGGCCAACGTCACACATCAATATACACCAGCTCAAGCGACGACGACGACGACAACGCACCGCCGACCATGCCCCGGACACCTTACGACACACGCGAGACACACGCCCGAATACGCCAGCACCATCGCCAATATCACCAGCCACGGCTCAACGACCACCTCGGCGCCCATCGACCTACACACAGACGACAGCCTCGCAAGCACCTACACCAAAAGCACCACCTGCCAACGCCAGCATACCTATGGCGCGCGTCCTAACATCCACCGCCATTTGACCTTAGGATCCCAATTGTTTGTCCACCACCTGACGACGCCAGGGCACAAACGTGGCTCCAATGTATTCCCACCAGGGAGTTAGCACCACAGGCATAAGCTTCCAGGCAGGTTTACTGCCCGACCAAAGCACCACCAAGCACACTAGCCAGCACCATAACGAGGCCACCCCCCAAGGGTCACCTCGGTCGAACCTTCTTGAACGAGATCGGCGACCCACGCTTCCTTGCCATAGAACGACTACACTAAGCATATTGCCAACAATTCCTTACTGAAGTTCACCTTCGCAACCTACGTCACGGCATACCGCACGACCACTCACCAACACCAGTACAGACGCCGCTGATCTTCAAGGCACCACCAAAGCCGAAACAGCACAAGGCCCACACAAGTGGCAGTGGCACCAATACGTGAGGTCCTATAGATGGGATACGATGTTGGTTCTGTCAATGCGCTCCTACCTACGCGTGAATGGAGAGGGCAGTGCATACCAAAGAATTGGGAATACCACGACCTTCACGACAGCAACTTCGACGACTTCGATTACTGCAGAATGCCAATAGCTGACATCCTCTCCTCCCTACCTCCTTGCTTTTGTCACCGCCAAACGCACTAGAGCTACTCCTGCTGTCGTCATCGTCTTTCCACTTATTCTCCTCTTCGTACCCCGTTTGAGGCCAAGGTCGCTTGACCTGCCCACGCAGATGCGTATGGGCACCTCTTCCCCCCCCCCCAGGGGCTGTACCATACCGGCTGCTGAGCACAGCAGGTGCCGGTGTATCCCCTGGGTGCATGGGACATATGTTATCTTATACTTCGGTGGTTCACGCCACCTGCCCTCTCACTTCTCCCCCGTCGTTGCTGCTTGCCTTTGCGATGATTTGCGTCCACTGCCTTACCAAGTATCCTTTTGCTCACATTACCCCTCCAGCGCAGCCTGACACTTATCGCTCTTTTTAGCACACCCACTATTATATCGACTTGGGGCGGGTGAGGCTTCGATGGGGGGGTGCGGGCTATGAGATGCCACGTTACTCGAGCAGCAGCCTGACCCAGCCGATAGGCCAGCCAGCCAGTCAGGCCAGCCTCTTGTACTTCTGCGTGCATCCACACCTCATCCTCTTTCCATCCTTTCGGGACCCCCTGACCCACAGGGCAGGGCGGGCCGCCTTTGCAGGCTTTGATCTCGCAGTCACAGGTTCGTCGCAACATCCTCTACACCTTTAGGTACGACCCAGTGCCCACAGGCCAGCCGACCAGGCCAGCCTTCGTACGCTAGCCATTAGTGCTCAGGATTCGTGTGTAACCCGAAAGGAACCGACGAAAAGCACGAAGGTCGATGGACCAAGGAGGTTCGGGGTGAACCGAAAAACCCTGGGCTGCAACCCAAGAGCTGCCAAAGTTTGCATCTGCCATCTCCTGTCAGCTTTTGCTGCAAGCATGTATCCACAATTTGGGGAAAGGCGGGTTACTTTATTTTCGGTGTAGTTACTGGTTAGGTGGGGTCTACCAAGTTACATCAGGCTTTGCAGCTTCGGCCAGCCCACATGCCAGCCTTTCAAACCAGCACATGTCGCGCGCGGTCATACGTTCTCCTCTTCCCGCCACTGTCGCCTGCGCTGCATTTTATACATCGCTGCTTGCACCTGTCCTCACTTGCCACGTTTTGCTGCAAGCCTGAATCTATACGTCGAGGGGGGGCGGAGTTACTGAGGCGGAGGACCTACACACCAGGGAGAGGGGCATACCAAGTTACATCAGGCGCTGCAGCCCGGATGTCCTTACGGGTTGGGAGGGGTAGACCAATTGACTTTAGGCGCCGCAGCCCCGACCAGCCCACAGGCCAGCCTATCAAGTCTACATTTTGCGCGCACTCGTGCATTCTCATCTTCCTCCCACTCCACTGTCGCCAGGACAGATTGCACAGCCGCATGCTAAGTACCACCGTGCGGCCGACCCTTTCAACGTCTTAGACAGCCTCCCCATTGGTTGCACACCGTCTTGCCCACCTTGGCAGCAGCCCGCAGCCCAGAGATACAAAGCTACATCGGGCGCAGTCGCGCCGCACAGTCCCCAGGCCAGGCTTTCGGGCCAGCCTTCTTACCCCCTTCGCACACTGCACGTTCTCAGCTTCCAGGACAGCCTCAGCACGGATGTGAACACATCCGCCTAATTTGCACGTTGCTTCGTACCTTTTTTGCAGCCCATATGCCACGTTTTTCCTGTAGTACATCCATGCTGCAGAACGCGTCACATTGCCTTTCACGCACCCTACGTGGCAGCCTGCGCCACTAACATATATGTTAGGTGTGGGGGGGGAGTTGCATGGGACGGAGGTGGGTTTACTAAAGTACGCCGGCCGACACGTATTACATTTGGCGGGCGCTTATTCTTCGCCACTATATATTGTGCCGGTTCTTTGTCAATTGCTGTCGCCGCAGCGCCCGCCAAGTAATTTTCGCCAAGTCGGACACACAGTTTCTTTTTTTGTTGCACAGCGCATTGCAAAACGTCACAAGCCTATGCTTCAGGTCTGGGCAACGTAAAATGGAGGAGGATGAGGAGGATGAGGAGGATGAGGAGGATGAGGAGGATGAGGAGGATGAGGAGGATGAGGAGGATGAGGAGGATGAGGAGGATGAGGAGGGGGGAGGGGGGATGGGGGAAGAGGATGAGGGACGTGGAGGAGGAGAGGGGGTGGAGGAGAAGAAGGAGGACGGAGAAAAGGGGGGAAAGACGAGGATGAGGCGGAGAAAGCGGGGCGGGGGGAGAAGGGGAGGAAGAGACACAGGAGAAGGACTCTGCAGCGACTCGGGCGCGCAGGAGGCCCAGGGTCCCTCGGTGGTCTTTGGCGTGGGCGGCGGCGTTGGGCTTCTCATGGCATCGGGTGCACGCTTTCGGAAGACACGGCGCCCAGGGGCTCAGACGAATTCGACGATGCCACCGCAGAGTACCTGCAGCTTCAGCACGCGCCCTGGCTGGGCGACGTGTGCCAGAAGCAGCTGTCGGCTCTCATCAGGCGTCTGCGCTGCGGAGTCGAGAGGAAACGGTCGCATCACATCACGTCTGATTGCACGGCCCCGCGTGCTCATTGCGGCTGCCTTCTGCAGCGCTATTCTCTTTTGTGCAAGGGAATTCTTGAGGTAGTAGGGTGGGGGAAGGAAGAGGAATAATATGAGAGAAGGAGGCGGAGAAAGGAGGAAGACGAGGAAGAATGCAAGAGCAGAAAGAGGGAGGAAAAGCGATGATAAACAGGATGATGGGCAAAGATGGGATGACAAAGGGAGGACGAGGGAGGAGGAATAATGAGACGTAGCAGTAGGGGAAGGGGGAGGAGCACCTGGATAGGAGGAGGACCGAAACCTCTTCCGTCCTGTCAGGAAGAGGCCTTACGCTCGCCTGTGGGCCTCTCAGGTTACAGAGACCTCACAGCTTACAGAGACCAACGGCCCCCAAGCCCACAGCGAGACAAGCATGAATACACGTGGGTTTGACGCCCCAGCGCGAGACAAGCGTGAAACCACGAGGGCTCCCAATGCCCCAGAGCAGGACAAGCGTGAAAACACTTTGCCGTTACAAACACTACAGTCTTTGGACACATTGCCGTCACAAGCGCTACACATTGCCGTCACAAACACGTCGACAGTTGGACATCCCGACGCGAGCAGCAAGACTCTCCGTGGCAGGCTAGAGGATGTAAACGCCACCTGGTCACAGCTCGTATCATGTGTGATGTTAGTTCCTCATCCGTGTCGCCTCCATTTTCTCATCGCCGCACAGTGCAGGTGCAACGACCTGCACAGGCAAATTGGCGGGAAGTTGTGTGTGCACACAGTGAGATGTGCAATAAACAGAGTTTTGCGTAATGCATGCCGACGTGCGCGTACATTATCAACACGTTGATGTTGTTACTATGCAGTCATCACTGACCCGCCCTTCGGTTTGTGGGTTCAATTGTGACTTCGTTCTTTCGCGAAAACATGGTAACGGCTACAGGCCAACCAGCAATAGGAGTCAACGGTGCCACTTTAGCGAAAAGATGCCAAGCACCAAGCCGCGATGTTTAGTTTCTCTCGTGTTTCGGGCGAGTTCCGTGCTGGACTTCTGACAGGTTGTCATGATGATGTTGCCATGGCGCGAACTTCAGTATGTTTCGGCGCTTTGCGAACTTCAGGCGCCTCTTGTTCCGATGCTCCCCTCCAAGTGGTTGCACTCAGGGGTGTTTCCTTCTCCGTCTAAAACTCGCCATCGCTCAGACGTCCATTCCCCGTGCGTTTCTCGATTTCGTGCGTGCTTTGTTTCGCTAGATGATGAGGAGTGCTCCTCGATGGTCGTCGCCAAAAAAGAATGCACACGTCCGAGCGATGCCAAGAAAAGCTTGGACGTGTGCATTTTTTCTTGGCATGTCCAAGAAGAGCGTCCGGCTGGGTCGGCGTCCGCCCGTGCCCGCGCACGGGCGCCTCGCGGGCGCCCCGTGCGCGGAGTGCCCCAGACAGCTTGCACCATCACGCACACACACAGGTTCTCTGATTTTTCGGGGGGCCAAGATCCGTTCATCTCTAATCGTTCTGTGCGGGGTCTCTTCCTGGCCACCAGGGGGCCAGGAACATTTAGAAACGAGCACAAAAATGAATGAGCACGAGTAGAAAAGAACGACGTGTATGTAGACATATCTATATATATATATATATATATATATATATACATATGCAGATTACAGATATATGCAAAATTCTTGCAGCGTGACCAGACTGCATCACTCAGCTTGCAATGTGCAAGCTTGCGCCACACAGTCTGAATCGCAGAGCCTGCGGCACACAGCTTTCACTCCACAGCTTGCACCCGGCAGCTCGCACCACATAGCTTGCACCACATGTGGTTATACTTTCTTTTGTATTTTTTCGCAGAGGGCAGGATGTGTCCGCCCTGGCCTGGATCTGCGGTAGGCAGCAGATCTCTTTTGGGTGTACCGGCCTGTCCTCGATTTGGGGCCGGTTCGCGATCAAAATCAAAGTTGACACCTGCAAAGTGCCCGTCTTCGATTTGGCACGAGCAGCAACTCTCCGTGGCAGGCTAGAGGATGTTAATGCTGCCTGGGCACAGTTCGTACCATGTTTGATGTTAGTTCCTCTTCCGGGTCGCCTCCGTTGTCTGATCGCCGCACAGTGCGGGTACAACGACCTGAATACGCCACATGACGGGAAGTTGTGTTCACACAATAAGTTGCGCAACAAGCAGAGTGGTGAATGACGTATGTGGGCGTGCGCATACATGATCAACGCGCTGGTCTTGCCTTCTACTGCGGCCATCACTGGCCCTTGGGCTGATGGATTCAACGGAGATTTCGCTTGATTGCGAAAACGTAGTGATGATTACGGCAGGCCAACCAGCAACAGGAGCCGCTGGCATCGATTTAGAGCAAAGATCCCACCTACCAAGTCTCGAACTGGAGACTCGCTCGCAATTCGAACTCATTTTATTTTGGGCTGTTCCCTCGTTGCCAAGGCGCGAAATTTAGGATGTTTGCGGTTTGCGAGCTCAGGTGCCCCATGTCCCAAGGTTCCCATAGAAGTGCTTGCACGTAGGTCTTTACCAAGTGGCTTACGCCATTCCGCCAACCCGCAGAAGGAGTGAGAGTTTGCGACGATCGTGGAAGTTATCTAGTGGGTCATTGGCCTCTATGAAGGGGCTCTCGGGATGCTTTTCAGGAGCCTCATGGAGGGCTCTTCGTTGCATCTGGATGGTTTGGGGGGGCCTCTTGGGAGCCTCTTGGAGGCCCCTTGGGGCCTCTTGGAGGCGCCTCTGGGGCTCTGTTGTGCTCTCGGAGCAATCTTGGGGGGAAGGCTCGAAATGCAAGCTCGTATTCACCCGCTTGGGCCCCTCGTGATGCCTTCTTGGGGCTCTCTTGGGCCGACGTTGAGGGCCCCTGGAGCCGTCTTGGGCGTCTTGGGACGATCTTTGGGGCCCCTTTGGCCGTCTTGGATGCCGTGGAGGTGAAAAAGTCGAGCATGCTGAATATAGACGCTTTCCTGCGGGAATGGGGCAATGCTTGCCTCTGGGGATCCTCTCGGCGGTCCTCTGGGAGCACGCGTGGGCCGTCGTGGAGGCCATGTTGGCCGTCTCGAAGCCATCTGTACCCTAGGCCATCGCGACGCGTATTTGGACTGTGTTGGCGCTTTGCGTGAGCCCTTTCGGGCTTGGGCCGTCTTGGGGCTCTTTGGAGGCTACGGAGACGAGGATGTGTTCGGGAGCTCCCAAACCCAGCCCCCCCCCCCCCCGCACCCCCCGGGCCCTCCCCCCTCGAACGGGATTTTGCGCCCCAGGGAAGGGGGGAAGGGGGGAGGGGGACGACCAAAAGGAGGAGGAGGAGGAGGAGGAGGGGGGAGGGGGAGGGGGACGACCAAATGTCCCACACGCCGTCCCACCCCCAGCAGGCGGGGGGTCGCCGGACTTCTCTGCCTGCACGGCCTCGGATGGGCAAAGGCGGGGTGTCGCCCGGTGCCGCGCGGGTTCCCACGCGTGCCCCCGCCCGTGGGCGCCTCGTGGGCGCCCCGCTTGCGGGGTGGACCACACAGGGTGCAGCCAGGAGACCCTCTTTTCTAAAGAGGAGTTCGGATGCAACGCCTGGGAGGTCAAATTCTGTTTTCGCCCTGGTCCGAAATCCGGCTCAATCCAGCTTAATCCCGCTTAATCCGGCTCAATCCTGCTTGATGCCGCTCAATCCGGCTTAATCCTGCTTGTTCCGAGGCCCACTCCGACGTAACAGCTCCCAGATGGGGCTTAATCCTCTCCTTAATTTTTCCGCCGGAAGCCCTCCAGCAGTTGCCTCCTAAGAAGAGGTAGACTCTACCCCCCCCTGACTTATCGATCCACTTTTTTCGTATGGCAAGTTGCGTGTGACGCTGACCCAATGTCCATCCGGCCCGTGAGTTTATGCTGTCCCAGCTAGGCCGGCATCGCCCCTTCACCCCCCGCCATCCTCAGTAAACAATACTATGCGCGCGCACTCGTTTATCAAAAACCATAAGTTTGTAATAACCCCGTGAAACAATTGAACGAAATGCACACGCGCGCATCGTCGCGCGCGCATGCTGGAATCCTTCAAAATCCGTCTGTTTCGGAAGGGTTTAAGAATCGAGTGTCCAAACAACATATAAAAACACAGGGTTTCGCAACACGGATGTTCAAAAAAAACGTGCGCGCGCGTTCTTGCGAGTTCTAAAGGAAACCAGTGTTTTCAACAGGTTCATAAAATGCTACCAAACGGGCTTCGCGCGCGCATGCCGAAATCGTTCGAACGTTTTTGCGCGCGTGCCGTCGCGAGAATCGCTTGCAAAACACAGGGCGAAGTGCACACGCGCGCGTCGTTGCGCGCGCATGCCTGAATCCTTCACAAGCCTTCGGTTTCGGAAGGATTTTAAAATCGACTGATCAAAAAACGAATAAAAAACACATGGTTTCGCAACACGGGTGTTCAAACAAATGTGCGCGGTCTTGCGAATCCTAACGAAAGCCATCAGTTTTCAATGTTTCATAACATGCTACCAAACGGGCTTCGCGCGCGTGCATGTCGAAGTCGTTCGAACGCCCTTGCGCGCGTGTTGGGGTGGCACGGTCCGTGTCAAATATTACCATGCGAGCCACTCTCGCGCGTCTGCCGCGCGCGCATTTCGAATTCCTTCCAAAACCTTCATCACCGACGCGAAGACGCCGTCATCGTCGTCGGCGTGATCAGCATCGGCGCCGTCACTGGCTGCCCCGTCGTCGCTGTCAGCATCGTCACCAGCATCGCTACTATCATCATCGTGTCTACCGTCGTCGACGTTGCCATGATACCGCGCCCGCCCAAGCCGCCGACTCGCATTGAAGTGCCCGCTGCGATGTGGCAAGCGGCCAGCGCCACCGCATTCGCGTCGGTCGCGCCAAACTAGCTGGCCCTTGCGCGTGCGAGCATCCGCGGGCTAGCGCGGCCGCAGAGATGCACCAGTCAACAGCCAGCACTCATCGCAATCGTTCCCGCATGGATTTTGTAAACCAAGTTGCGGGTGGGTGGGTGGGATGATTGCGCGAGCAGTGGTGTTGACAACCTCAACTTCGGCAAGTGAGTTCCACCGCATAGCTCGCACCACACACATGCATATCTAATCTTATATAAACAAAAACCCCCTCCGGGAGCGTCCCCCACCTCCAGAGCATCTGGGGGCAACTCCCGGCACCGCGCCCCTGGGCCTCCCAGGGAGGCCCCACAACGCCCCAGGACGGCCCAAGACGCCCCCAAAGCGCCCCCAGAACGCGAAAGGACGGCCCAAAACGCTCCCAAGCAGCCCAAAACAGATCCCCGAAGGCTCTCCAAGGCTCTCAGGATGCTTCAAAGGGGCCCCAAGAGAGCTCCGAGAGGCGTTCCGGTAGCGCCCGAAGAGGCCAAAGTCGTTGAGTTTCATTGTTTTTATTTAGGTCTTCAGCCTTTCGCGTTTTCGAGCCCCCAACGCTCCAAGACGGCCGAAAAGACCCCCAAGACCGCCTCAAGACCGCCCATGAGAGCCCCCAAGACGGCTCCAAGACGTCTCAAGAAGTCCCCAAGACGGCCCAAGAGCGCCCCGAGGCAACCCAAGAGACCCTCAAGATGGCCGTAGCCATTTTGGCTCAAGGCAATTGTTGGCTCAAGCTCTGGGCCGTCTTGGAGGCCTCTTGGCCCGCCTTTATCGAGACCTACTGCCTCGATCCCAGCGATCTCTTATCCAATGGTCTCTTGTGTTGGCGTCACGTCGGTGGCGCTCGTGTGCATGTCGGGGCTGCTCGTATTCCTGAGCGTGGCCTGGCGAGGACCAGTGGTTCGATTAAGTTCTGCGCTGGTATTTGGCCAGAGCAGCATGATCAATGTGAGCGGCCACACGGGCAGCACGATCGTGAAGTCCAGGCGGAATGCCGCCGCGGCCAAGCATTGCAAATAATTTCCTTGTATTCCAAGTTTGAAGGTTTCGAGTCGGTCGTCCAAGTTGCAGATCATGGGACAACCCAAGGCCGGCGCCACGGTGTCCACCCAGATCATGTTCAATTTCCTGAACATAACTAACAAGGCGTTGGAGTTCAGCAGTTGGATTCACGATTACTGTGGCAGAGTATTCAACCAGGATGCAGACCACGAAGCATACCAGTGCTCCGAGTGCGGGCTGAATGGCTTGAAGTGTCTCCAGATAGTGCGCAATCCGTTGGATCGAGTGGTCTCTTCGTACGTTCACACCATGAGTACCAAGATACACACATTTATCGAACGCGAGATCGCAGACTTCGCCGCAGACGCCTCTTTCGCGGAGTTCATCGCTTTCTTGAAACGCACTGCAGCAACGCGCAGCCGCTATTGGCAAGACGGGCATTACTTGCCCCAGTGCGACAAGACCTGCAAACATACTGAATTTGACAGGGTGCAGCATCTCCCAGTCGAGAGCTTGGATGCTGGATTGGCTTGGTTTGGCCAAACCGAAAACATACAGGGCCTGACCAGAAAGAACATGTCATCGAACCACTACGTCAAGAAGTCCCCCCGGGTGGACCCAGGCGCAGCATATCTCCGCTACAGCGAGCATCTGCGTGATTCGCCTCCGTCCTATGAGTCCTTTCTCGCCGAGCCCAGCATATTCAAGGATGTATGTTGTCTTTTTCGGGCAGATATCGAGTTGTACCGCAAGTCATGTTCTTCAGAGTGGTTGCAGGGGTGCGCAGAATGCGTGGACAGTTGTGCCAGAGAGCTACGGAGGTTGGCGCCCTGCGATGAGCGGAGGGTCGATCGTTCAAGCGAAAAGACGCTCGTTCGAACGAAAAGGTAATCCGTTCAAGCGAAAGCCAATCGATCAACCATGGCATCGACGCCGCCTTGCGCCGCGGAGGCGGCGGCCGCCTCGCTGCAAAATCTTGGTTCCCGGCAGCCGCGGGGCGGGCGGGGGCGCCCGGAACCGGCGCGCACCTTTTTGCGCGCTCTCGCCCAACGAGTATCTCTCGAAAGGCAGCAGTTTTCGCGTGAATCGTCTGAACTGGTGGACATGATTGCAATATCACCCACCCACCCGATACCCTGTTGTAGACGCTCGGCAAAAAGCGCCGATGCCACAGCTGATTTCAATTTTGGCGCGCGCTTCTGAGACTTTTGCTGCTGCAGCGCGCCTTGCCTTTGCGCGAAAAAAAAACTTGCCCAACAGAGGGAACGCTAATCGACAATCCTGGCTTTTAGCTCCAAGAGGACCCCAGGAGGCCCCAGGAGTCCTCCAAGGAGCCTGAAGAGGCCCCCAAGAGCCCCGAGAAGGCCCAAAAGTGGCTCCAAGAGGCCCCAAAACAGCCCCCCAGCGGCCTCCAAACTGCCTCCCAAGAGCCCCCTGATGGTGGCGGTGATAACGTTGATGGTGATGGCGATGACGTCGGTGATAGTGATGATTATCGTCATCTTTATGTTCGTCTGGACGCAGGGGCGGGGTCCAGGTTCCATACTTCTGGAGCCCAGTCTTCCCGCCGTCGAAATCGAGGCATCATTTTTGGAATCGCAGCGAAAGGGCGAGAGCGCGAGGCGCAGTGCCCACGACGTCGGCGTTGACGCGGCACGTTGTTGACGCCACGCTCTGATTTCGCACCAGTGACCCTCTGCTGAAGCAGCGCGCTCCTCGCCATGGAGGAAGAGGCTCTTGACTGGAAACGGGTCCTGGACTTGTTTCGCCAAAATCGCCACCCACAAAACCACCCCAACCCCAACCCGAAGGCCTCAATTTGTCCTCCATTTCCAGTGTGGGGGGGGGTGGTCGGGGAACATTGAAAAAAAAAACATGGAACCCGTACCCCCCCCCAACCCGAAATTGGGGTCTTCAAATTGGGTTGGGGTGGTCTGGTAGGTCGTCAAAAAGGGGCTGGACCCTGGGACCGTCGGATACCTACCCGGGGTGGCAAGGCTGCCCCAGGCCAGAAAGCCTTGGGTCCACGATCCGCTTCGTTCAGAGGCTGATGGCCCGCGTCTCGCACACCGAGTAACGCGACGAGCAGAAAATCATCGACAGCAGTCGGGAATGTGTGCTTATCCCATCTATCTGAATACCGAATCGTGCAAGAAGAGGGGGGAAGAGAAGAAGGATCAGGCGACCAGGAGGAGGAGGAGGAGGAGGAGGAGGAGGAGGAGGGGAGGATCGGAGAGGGACTTGGAGGATAAGGTCACAGGATGACGAGGCCAGGTATGCGGGTGTGGATGAGGATCAGGACGGGGAATACGAGGAGCTGGGGTCTGATGGATGATTGGAGACTTCAGCGTTCATGCCAATGTAGCCGATTTGGGCTCACGTTCTGGTTCGCGTCGCCTTGGGGTCAGCTTTGTGCTTTGTCTTTGGGGCAGATGGCGATGCCGAGCCATCTTTTGAAGGTGTCAGTTCCATGTCTTATTTGGACTATTTGGTATAAGGCAGTGCTGGCCAAAGCTGCAAAGGAGTTGAAGCCTTGGGGATCAGAGACTCTTGCACAATTCTTGTCTGGATTGCTGCATTCGTTCGGCTCTTCATGGCTAAATATGCAGGGCTTCGCCGTCTGAAGCCGGCTCCCGCGCGAACCCGTTACAACTTACAGTGGGCTGTAGCCTCGGGAGCGCGAATGCGTCGTAACTTACGCGGGACTGTTGCCTCAGGAGCGCGCGCGCGCGCACGGGCATCGTAGTTTTCAAGGGGTGTGGCGTCGGGAGCGCGCATGCGGCTTTTCGGCCAGGGGTTCGCGCGTTCTGCAACCTCCCGAGCCCGGAACGAGAAAGGCGCCCTGGCACAGAGGAACTGCACCGGAGCTGGTACTGCATCCGAGGAACTGAGGACTGGTTGCAGGATGCAGAGATTGGATCCTCGCACCCTGGTGGCCACCAAGGGTGCAGGCGGATTTCAGCCACAACGCGGAAGAAATATTTGCCGAGGGCACCTTCGGCGAAGGAAAGCAGTACATCATGGTCTGGCACCCGCACGGTTCGTTCACGATCGCGGCTCTGTATTTCATCTCCAGCTTCTGGGCGAGGCGGTACCCTGGTGGTACGCCTCGATATGTCTGCGTGGCGCCGCTCCTGCTCAAGATCCGAAGGCAACCCGCCTCCGCCGCCACCCTCCGTTGTTACGTCTCCGAGTGCTGTCGCCAGGCGGCTTGCGAGTGCCCACAAAAGCACCAGAGCAGAGCGCTCATTCCCGCCAGTCTGCATCCCTATGTTTTGCCTCTTATGCCTCCCTTCCCCTCCTCCCTCTCCTCCTCCTTTTCGTCGTCGTCGGTGCCGCCCCCCCTCCTCCACATCCGCCCCCTCTGCTTCCGTCTCGTCCTCCCACCTCGTCATTCTCCTCTTGATGCGCCTCCTCCTGGGTGCAACGAAAGAGTCCATGCCATCCTACCTCTTTCGAGACGCTGAGTGTGTTCATTGTCACGCTTCTTGAGCTCGTCAGGGGAAGTTAAGTCTAACCTCTGTTAGCCTCGCGGCCCCAATGGGGACAGGCGCATTCCGTTCCTGGCAGAATACCTGCTGCTCTGCCATTCTCGCGACCAGGATCTGGCAACCTTCGAAGGGCTTCTCAAGACAGGCGCCACTGTTGCGGTGCAGCCAGGCGGCCTGGCAGAGCAGGTGGAAACTGACCACCGACGCGAGCTGATCTACTTTCCGCGCAACCTGGGCTTCGTCCGTCTCGCCTTGAAGTACGGCACGCCCCTGCTACCAGTCTACGCGTTCGGCGAGAACCAGTTGTACAAGACCGCGGGCTGGACGCGGAACGTCAACAGATGGTTGTACAAGAACTTCAAGGTTTGTGGAAGTCGAGATTAATGGAGAGGAAGCATGCTGCCAAATAATTTCTATATGTCTAAAAGATGTTTCAAACATGCTTCAATGTAGAAATGCATGTTTGAACCATGTTCAGAACATGTTGCTTATACATGCTAAACAAATTTTAATTCAATGGTAGGATTGTTGGAGTGTCCATTGTCATGGCATCCACAGTCCAAGGTGGGGAGCATGCTCGTCTTGGGGCTGTTCGGCATCCCCAGCACGCCGCTGCTGCCGAACCCGCTCATGCTGCCGACGCCGGGCCAGGGCCTCCACGTCCGGTGGGGCCGCCCTGTCGAGGTGGGGCCGCCGGTGGCAGAGCCTCCCGAGGCGCTGGTCCAGGAGACTTTCCAGCCGCCGTGGTCGGTGGCCACAGTCAGGGCCCAGGGTCAAGTCGGGCCCGCCCCTCTTACAGGAGGAAGATCCAAAGATACTCCACAAAAATAGTCTGGGGACTGTTTTTGGAGTATTGTTGGGCATCCTTTGAGCATTTTGGGGGTATCTTTCATTCTTCGTCCAAAATCCCCCTGTAGGGGCCAGGGTTAAGTCGGGCCCAGGGTTAAGTCAGGCCCGTCCCTCTACAGGAGGAATATTCAAAGATAATCAAAACATAGTCTGGGGACTATTTTTGGAGTATTGTTGGGCATCTTTTGAGCACTTTTGGGGGTGTCTGTCATTCTTCGTCCAAAATCCCCCTTGTAGGGGGACAGGCCCGACTACAGCCCAGGCGGACCCTCCCCGGGCGAGCAAGGGCTGTCGGAGTCAGCAGAGTGCAGGCAGGCCCCCCGCACAGGCCAGGGAGCCATCAAAGGTATGGAGCTCGTGACGACTGGCTCGGAGGATACGGAAGGGTGGAAGAGAAAAATCAGAGAAACTACGGATTCAGTTTGTGTCGGGGTTTCGGTTTTCTGCTATGCCTGGCGGCCCATAGGGGCCAGACGGATCGCCCCTCCTCCTCCTCCTCCTCCTCCTCCTCCTCCTCCTCCTCCTCCTCCTCCGCCTCCTCGCGATCCGTCTGGCCCCTATGGGCCGCCAGGCACAGCAGAAAACCGAAACCCCGACACAGACTGAATCCATAGTTTCTCTGATAGAGCTTGCCAGGATCGCTTCTGTTTGCCCGGGAAGGTGTTCCACGTGTATGTTTTCCATGTGTATGTCTCTTCCTGGGAGTCGTGCTGGTTCTGCGTCGATCCCTTTGCGTTGCGCCCTTCGCCGCCTGACGTCACTGCCTCCATGGCCTGCCTGCTGTGTTCTTGCCAACCCAATCTGGGAGTCCGCGACGTCTCCCTCGCCAGTACAGGGGGAGAAGGACGAGGAGGAGGAGATGGGAGGATGAGGCGCAGGAGGGGGAAGGAAGAGTAAGAGGGAGGAAGAGGAGGAGGATGAAGGAGGAGGAGGAGGAAGAGGAGGAAGAGGAGGAAGATAAGGAGTCGGAGGAGGGAGGAGGAGGAAGGGAGGGAGGGAGGGAGGAGGAGGAGGAGGAGGAGGAGAAGGAGAAAGAGGAGGAGAAGGAGGGGAAGGGAGGAGGAGGATGAAGAGGAGAGGGAGGAGGCGGAGGAGGAGGAGGAGGAGGAGGAGGGCCAGTGTAAACTCGAGATCCACCAACGATATTGCAATAAACCCTCCTTCCAAGTTTCTTCGTAGGCCCCAACAAGGGTTCATCACTGAGGGAAGTGCCCCGTTGGAAGGGAACCGTTTGAACATCCTGAATTGTGCCAGAACGCCACTCCTGGGATCTCAACGCCGCGAATCACACTACTGTTGCGTCTTGACGATCCCGAATCGTGCCAGAACCCCAGTCCTGGGACTTCAACACCACGAATCAACGTAACACCGCGAGAACACCATTTCTGGCAGGTTAACCATGAAAATCTTGAAATTGTTGTAAACTCACGACGGCTCAAGTTTATGTATTCAAGCCTCGCGACACACATAGCCTCGCGACACACGCAGCGGCGACTACTACTACCTCTGAGGAACCCCTCTGCGCAGCCCGGCGCCGCGAATCAGCCATGGCTGGGATCGAGGAAGCGTTGAAGCGCATCGAGGCCAGCACGCAGACTAAGGAGGAGGCTAAACAGAACGTCGATGAGTTCAAACTGGCTGTGACCAAGCTGACCGATCAGTTTCACGCTAAGCTAAACATGTACCAGAAGGACTCCGACAAGAAGCATGACGAGTGCAAGGCAGCCATTGCGGAGTTGAAGAAGCAGGTTATCGCACTACAGGATGCCGTGGGCGAGGGTGACGAAAGCAGGGATGTGAAGAGGGCTTGCTCAGCTGCGATTCGTTCATCTTCTTTGGATGGTCGGGGATCCAAGGCAGGGAAGGGGGGTGTGATCCCGAGGGAGGTGGAGGAGAAGCTCGCCACACGCATCACAGTGAATGGGCTTCTGAACAACACTCCGAAGGATGAGCGCGAGGAGGCAATCAACTCATGTCTCAATGGTTTGGGGACTGTTGGGAACTATGGGAAGCACACCGTGTTTGCCAATGGTGTCAGTGGTTCAGATGTATGCATACAGTTTGCTTCACGGGAGGTTGCCGCACATTTCATCACAGAGAATTTTGAAAGCATCAGGAATTTCAAGTTGGCAGGACAAGCAGGGAAGAGTCGACTAGTATATGTCAAGTTGCACATGGCGAACGCGCAATGGAAAGTCTATCATGCAGCCCGCTTGCTTGCACAAACAATTACACCATCTAACAAGGTGCAACCTCTGGAGGTGAAGGCCATCAAGCGCAGGGGCACTGTCTCGATTGATTCGTTTGACGTGCTCAAGTTGTTGTTAGGTCACGACGGCAACGTGGAGTGCAAGTGGGTGAAGAAAAACGTGGCGGACCTTGGTGTCGACGATCTGCAGAGGAACGTGCAGCCTCTGATCGACGAGTCCGCTGCGCACTTCAAGTAGGAAGCGGAGGCGTTGGACGCATGGTTGTCCTCAGCGTGCGACCGGCATTACCTCCTCCATCCACCTGAGGAACAAGTTCACAGTCACCGATTTCAGGGTAGCTTCCCAGTAAGAGGAAACTTTTTTGAGGAGAGCTTGGGAGTGACCCGTCTTCTTGGGACGAAGTGGCTGGTCGCAAGCAGGAGGTCCTAGTCTTGAACTCTTTACGGAATGTATTGGACGAGAGGGGCGAATCTTATATACGAGGGTTTGGGGGGTATGTCCAGATGCAGGCCTGGGACACTTAATGAGCAGTGTCTTGACGACATACACGGTATGTGCTACAACAGTTGCGATGCCAATCTGGCTCGCGCACCGGAGCGCGGAACCAACAACTCCTTCAACGTGAGCATTTACACGTGGAGCTCGGCCGGCCTGTTCTGGGCATCGAAGTTGTGAAGGGCCCAACTGGCGATCCGATTATTGATTCTGTTGTTGTCGATGACAATTTGGGGGAAGTTGGGGGCATGAAGTTCAAAGAGGAACCCATCGATGTAAATGAAGCGGCTGATTTCACCGAGGATTTACGAATCGATTTCCCAAGGTTAGATGGTTTCGTGATTTTGTCATTTTCGCGATTGTGGTCCAAAGCTGCACGCGTTCAGCGCCGGGCCCGGGTAGTATCCCTTACGGGGCGTGGCCTGCGAACGTGCGGGCGTTGATCATTCTGTACGGGGCATACCTAAACTATGGGGTACACGCCTGTTTGTTTCAATGTGGCTTTCCTGTATTTGTTACCGAAGTGCGCAGCGGAGGATGGAACCTACAACCCAAGCGACACACGGCCGCTTTCCGGGGCGAGCTCCAACGCCAAGCTCTTCGCGATAGCTCTTGCGCTTCGTTTCAAGTCCGTCGTCAACGTAGGGCGAGCATCGGCCAGCGTGGTCTTATACGAGGGAGGCACATGATTACCAACGTCATGGACGTGGAAACACACGCGGTGGCAAGGGCGCAATTCGAGGGTAACAAGTCCGCTCTGATTTTCTTCGATTTCGCCTCTGCCTTCCCTCCTCTGCCAGTGCTTTCATTTGGATGGTGCTCAAGGCGATTAAGGTGCCGGAGCGCATCATCCGCGCCGCGCAGGCTCTTTACGTCAAGAACATTCGTTTCAAGAAGGGACGTGCTGGTTTACGATATGCATTTGCGGCTGCTTGCGGAGTCCGCCAAGGCTGCCCGCTGAGCTTTACGATTTTCGCCCTGGTGACCGACTGCTTCATGAGGGCGCTGGAGCGAACCACTGGGCCGCGAGACCTTCTTAGGGGATACGCAGATGGCATTGCTTTGGTATTGTGCGATATGTGGAGCTCTGGGCCAACAGCGTGCGGTATGTTTGAACGCATCGGTCGGATTTCGAACTTGCTTTGATATGGCAGGAAATGCGTTGTAGTACCCTTGTTGATGAACTTTGACGCGGCCGCGATACAGGTGCAGCTGGGGCAACGCACTCCGGTTTGGCGTGTTTTTTGGTTCGGTCTCATGGGCAACATTTGAGTTTTGTGGTGGGGCTTGGAGCTGAGAGCCGAGATTGGGACAGAGTCGCCGATGGCATTCTGCAGATCGCCAGTTTGGTCAAGCTGTTGAACCTCCCGAGGCTCGACGCTTCCTTATTATTTCAGATGTTGGGGACAGCCACGCTGCTATTTTTGTCGCAACTCAGGGCGCGGCCCCCAGACTTCAAAGTCCCGAGCTTTCCCGAGCCTCCCGCCCCGCAGACAGGAGCGACACGCTATCGCCTCGCAGCGCATAGCGTGCCGCCTGCTGCCGCGACATGCTAAGCAAACTTACCCGATCGTGCCCTTCCTCGTCGCGAGAAGGAGGAGGAGGAGGAAGAGGAGGAGGAGAAAGAGGTGGGTGGGCGGGCGGGTGGGAGGATGAGAAGGAGGAGCAGGAGGAGGAGGCGGAGGAGGAGGAGGTGGGGAGGAGGAGGAGGAGGAGGAGGAGGAGGAGAGGAGGAGGAGGAGGGAGAGGGAGGATGGAGGAGGGGAATGAGGAGGAAGAGGAGGAGGAGGAGGAGGAGGAGGAGGAGGAGGAGGAGGACGACGACGACGAGGATGATGAAGAGGAGGAGGAGAAGTAACAGGTGTGGAGGAGGAGGGAGGAGGGGGAGGAGGAGAGGAGGAGGAGGAGGGAGGGGGAGGAGGGAGGGGGACGAGGAGGAGGAGGAGGAGGAGGAGGAGGAGGAGGAGGAGGAGCAGCAGGAGGAGGAGGAGGAGGAGGAGGAGGAGGAGGCGGAGGTGGGCGCATTCCTCCTCGTCACCCTCCCGGTGGCCAACCGACCGCGGCCCCTGCGCTACCTCGCGGAGCTGCGCCGGCTCTTCGACGAGCACAAGGACGAGTGCCTGCCGGCCGAGGTGGCGGCGCGCGGGCTCGAGGTCGTCGTGCGGGGCGCCGCTCCGCGCTCGAGGCTGTAGCGGATGCCCCTCCCTGCCCTCCGCCTCCGCCTGATCCTGAAGCCTCCATCCTCCATCCTCCTCCTCCTCCTCCTCCTCCTCCTCC